TCCCCCTGAAAATCTGTGCTTCGCTGAGACAAAAATTCCCGGGGTTTCATCGTAAGGTGGAAGTGCTGCCTGAAGCCAGACAGGGCAGGCCTCAGCCTCTGCCTCTGCACGCAGCAGTGACCCCAGAAGCAATGGCAGAAGCCACAGGATCTTAGATTTTTTGGGCTGTTAGAATCACACACGTAACACTTACTTGCTGTGTGACTCTGGGCAAGTCACTTAACCCCACTGCCTAGCCAAAAAAAAAAAAAAGACAAAAAAAGAATCACACACAGCTCTAGAGCTGAGAGGGCCCTCAGAGGCCATCTGGTCAAAGGCCCTTCGTTTCCAAAAAAGGACAATGATAGTACCAGGAGTACTCGTTCTAGGGCACACCCTTGTTCATTGGCAGATTGGGATTAGAACTCTGGTCTTTTGACCACAAATCCAGCCCTTCTTCCAATCTGCCTCACTGGCCCCAAGGCTGCCATCTTTACAGTTCCTGACCTATTGTTTACAGAAAGTCACTTTTTTGAAAGGGAAGTCCCAAGGCTAGAGCTGCCCAATCCACAGGCAAATCTCATCTGCAAAGACCAGATAAACTGAAATCTGGCTCACATATCTTTGAGAGATGATTTTTCAAACGCATATAAATGCTGTCGTGATTAATTAACAAGCATTTATTTATTAATGAAGTACCAGCTCCTGTATCAGCCTCACAGAAAACAAAGGAGAGTCTGGCCAGTGGGCATTTCCTCAATTAATGGAGAAGGAGCTCTCTTGGTGGGGGAAGGGAGGAAGCCTGCAGATTTTTTTTCCTGGATGTTCCAAAGGGATACTCTTCAGAAGGTCACCAACCACTGGTGGATAGAATGGAAACCAGAGATAAATAATTTACAAAGGGAAAGCGGCCTGGCTTGGTGAGGCCGGCTGACCCTCCTGGAAAGGAGTCGTGCTCCGGAGAGGGAAGCAGCCAGACATTAGCAATCTAGTATGACACATACAATGAGGATCCTGAGAGGCAACACACAAGGAGAGAGGCCCATTATTCGCCGTGGTAAGCAATGAGGGAGCTACAAAAACGCAGTTTCTCATTTTCAACAAACATTGACTGACTGTCTATTCTAGTTTGAAAGGGGAAGCATTTGGTGAAATTATAGGAGCTGGAGCTAGAAAAAGGCCTCAGGGATCTTTTAGTCCAATCCTCTAATTTTTCAGATAAGGAAATTGAGACCCAGCGAACCTTAAGTAACTGGCAGATCACAGAGCTGCGATTGGAACTCAGAGACTTTGACTTCCCATCCAGAGGTGGTCCTACCTCCACCACTCCCAGGATGGCCCCACTCGAGGTAGAATGGTGCTTTGGAGAAAGCCAAGGGCTGGATTCTCCTCTCACCTTCACCACTGACTCATTGCGTGCCCTCGTTCAAAGATGACTGAAAGCACTGTTCTAGAGGAACAAAGATTTAGAGCCAGAAGGGACCCTAGTGCATGCTGGATTCAGTCTGGCTGGTTTTACAGATAAGGAAACTGAGGCAAAGAGCTAGGAAGTGATTTGCAGAGGGTCACACGATGGAAGGTCTTGAACCCAAGTATGAAGGAACTTTTCTTCTTGGGGAAGTGGAAGTATTCCAGAATATCTCCCCCTTTTTGGAGGCATCCTGACTTAGCCGGGCATGAGGCCCACACAGCTTCTCACTCAGCTTTAGACGAGGGGCCAGGTAGGTAGAGCTGGCTTTCAGTAATCGTATACAGGTCCCTTCATACCCCAGGTCATTCGCTCTGCTCATATGTGCAGGAAACCTGGGTCCTCACCACACTTCCCACATCCCACAGGAACCTTCCCCCTCTTTGGACCTTCTCTAGATTCCCTCTTGCCCTCCGGCTTTCCCCCTTTGCTCCCTCCCTTCCTACTTCTCTTCCTTCTTCCTCCTTTCTTTTCTCTCCTGTTCTCTTCTTCTTTCTCTCATTTCTCACCCCAGAGACAGGAAGCAGAGAAATGCCATTACAGCCAGTGGGTGAGAGAGGATCAAGCCACTCTGGCTGCTCTTCAGGGTTCTCAGAATGAAGCTGGACATTGCCTCTGGGGCACTGCTTCCATAGTGCTTACATTTGGGCTCATGGATTCCTGCACTCACAAGGCCTCTGGCCTTGCCCCTTCTCCGGCCCTCTGCAACCCTGCATGGGAGGGGGAGAGTCCAAGTCTGCCCTCAGGACCTTCTCCAGAAGGACCACTTTCCACATTCCTCATTCCCAGGTCTCACAAGCTTCGGGGTGCTCAGCTAAAGAGTGATAAGGCTAAACTAGGTGATGAACTGAGGAAAATTCTGAAGGGCTTCTCCCAGCCCCAGCTTGGGCTTCCCAGCCAAGATCAGGAGATAACGAGCAGACTTGGCCTCAGCCCCTAAACCAAAGCCAGTCGGCCACCAGGTGGGTGTGGTAGGGTGGGGAAGCCAAGAAGGGCACTTTTGTTTTTCCAATTTGGGCCTGGGGTAGGGCCAGGGCCAGGGCCTGTGATTTCATTAGTATAAGAAATGTTAGCATAGAAAATGCAATTTAGAGCTACCTAGGAGGTGCTCGCTTTTGGAGCCCCAGCTCTCTGGCTCGCTCTCTCTCTCTCTCTCTCTCTCTCTCTCTCTCTCTCTCTCTCTCCCCCCAACTACACTGACTCTTTTTTCTCAATTACTTCTTAAGAATAAGCATATTTTAATACCAGAAAATCAGCTACTCTCCGGTGTATGGGCACTCACTGCGTACCATGTCAGACTGCACCTGTTACCTAGAAGGCTCTGAGCCTCTGGCAGGCAAGAGAGGCAGTAACCTCTAGGTGGGGGAGCAAGGAACTCGGGTCTCCAACTGTCACCAGCCAGGCACCTCCCCTTTCTGAGCCTGGCCTGGGATCTACCCATGGCTCGGCCCAGCTAGGCCCACATTAGCTGTCTCCAAAGGCAGGTATTTGGAAGCAGGAAGAGAGGGCGTGGTCTCCAGTCAGAGTCCCTATTTAGCAGGCAGCTGAGCCTGTGGGATGCCGCCAAGGGCTGGGGCCCCTACAGAACATTTCTGGGGATGGAGGTGAGCTGAAATGAATGGCAGGTGGGAAGCTCACCAGGCTTGGGAACACCAAGTTCGGATCATCCAGGCCCACTTCATTTTACCGAGACGAAGAGAAGTCCCCCAGGTAATCGGGCAGAAATGGCATTTGCCCCTTAGCTCTCCACTGTCCTGTCTCTCCTCAAAGACCTAGATTGAAATCTCTATTCATTGTCTCCATTTCACTGGCCATAAAGATGAGAGGTAGGGCAGCCCATGCCAGCATCGGGGCTGGGACCAGAGCCCACAGCCCAATTTTTACATTTTCCCCCTGCAACACTGCTCCGCCCTGACTTCTTGGGAAACATGAATAATCATCTCATATCACCACTAGGATGATGGAGTGGTCATGTGAGGGAGGGCGAGTCAGGGAGGAATGTCTCAGGGCCAGCCCCGGAGCTTCACTGGTACCAGGATAGGGACAGGCCTGGCCTCCCCAAGGCCACACTCCCCCAGCACCCAGAACACTGGCTGGGCCTCTGGTGCAGGCTTTACTGGTGGAACAGGATGAAAAGACCTGGGAGGGAACACTTCCTAGAGAGGGAACCCACATCAAGAAGGGGGACCTCAGGGTCCAAGAGGATGCACCAGACCTCACCATCCACTGGCATTATCAAGCTACTTGATACTACTGTTCAAGGTTCATCAGGTGTCCCGAGACTGAGGCAAGAATCCTAGAACTTCAAAGGGGGGGAGTGGAACCGCAGCACTCCCGAGGGTCACTGACCTCCCTCCCTCCCAGGCAGGGAAGGCTGTGGGCAAAGCCATGAAACAGGCTGCCTTCAGACCTGGGGTCGGCAGAGGTCCAAGCCCCTCCCCTTCCCCAACCTTCCCATGGCAACTCCACCTCCAGGCGGAGGGCCCAGAGATAGGAACGGGAGACTCCTTGACCCCAACTCTGACGGGGTCACCCAGGAGGGACTCAGGGCAAACAGTCGGGGGAATCTGCCCCCCTCCCCACCCCGTTTGGAGGCATCGAGCGCACACACACAAACCCTCACACACACGTGCGTGCACACACACACACACACACACACACACACACACACTCACAGAGGCAGCCTCCACTTTTTTACTGTCTGGCAGCCCCTCTGTCTCCTCCAAGGCCCCCAAAGACTTCTGTCGCGCCCCCATACGCCCCTTCGCCACCCGCAGGCTTCCAGAAGCTGAGGGCTAGCCCTCGGCAGCCCCTGCTGTCCAGGTCCCTGCATCCCCTGGCTGTGCTAGCGGCTGCCAACCCTCCGCGCTAGGAGATCAGAAGCCCAGAGAGGCTGGCCGATATTTAGCAGGAGCGCAGGGCTGGCCGAGTCCCAAATCTCCCTCTTGGGCCCCGCGGCGCCCCAAAGGGCTCCAGGCTCACCCAGACTGTCTCCCCAGCGAATGCTAGAGTCCGGAGCCCCCAGCGGCACATCGCATAGCTCCCTGCCGGCGTCCCTCTGACTGTCCTGGACGCCCCTCACCCCCGGGCCGGACAGTCCCTGCAGTGTCTCCCCCCCCACTCCCAGCCACCATCGGATCTGTCCCCCACCCCCAGCAGCTGCGGCAACTGTGCCTCGGAGCCCCCCCGAAAAACCAACCAGTCCCCTCCTCTCGTGGTGCCCTGGGCTCCCCCTCCGGCCCTGGGCAACAGTGTGCCCCCTCCCCCCCCCAATCGCGCACACGAATACGGACAGGGACACGGACACGCAGGGATACGGAGACAAACACTGAGACACGCAAAAGCACAGAGAGACAACACAAACACACACACAGACACACATACACAGAGCCTCACGCCTGAAAGCCCGGCACACACACAGACACAGACACACACACACACACACACACACACACACACACACACACACACACGCACACCCAGGCGCACACACCATCACAGACCCCCCATCTGTCTCTCCCCCTTAGCCGTTTGCCCAGGAAACTTTGCTAACCTGCGCACCGCTGTCGCCACTGCGGTGTCCGGATCAGGGTCCGGGGTTCGGGTCCGGATCCGGGTCCGGGTCGGGAGGGGGAGCTCGGTCACTTGCTTCCTAGCCCCGAAGTTGGGGCTCCGGGCTGGGGCTCTGCGCTTGCGGGCCGCTCTCGCTCTCGCAGACTGACTCCGGTGGCCGGGACTATCCCATCCTCATCCTCAGCCTCGCCCTCCCTGCCTCGGACTCTGGGCGTCAGCGGCCGTGTTCCTGAGTCTCCGGGTGTGTGTGTGTGCGCGTCTTGCGCGCGCGATCTTCCCCCCTCCGTCAGACACCCACAGCCCGCGTCCTCGGCCGCCACCCCCGCCGCTGCCTCCCCGCCACCCCCGCTGCCGCCTCCGCCACACCGCTGCTGCCTCCCAGTCGCCCCCGTCGCCGCCGCCGCTGCTCTCACTTCCTCTTCCTCCTGCTGGCCAGAGGCTCACTTTACATCTGCAGGGCGTCCCGAGCCCATGTGCGGAGCTCCCTCACTCGCGGGGCTGCGGGATCCGCCGGGCCCGGCCCGGCCGGTCGGGGGCTCCCCAAGGGACCCAGCTCCCCCTGCCCTCAGCCTCGGGGGAGCGCGCTGGCCTCCCGCTCCCCCTGCCCGACACTCTCTGGGTCTTTGCTTCCGGGCAGGACCGACTGACGGACACTTTGGAGGGGCTGCGGGGGGCCAGTGACCCTCTCACCGAAGGGCACCGGGGCGCGCTCGCCTGGAAAGCTCCCGTTCTCTTGGGACAGCTGCGCGCGGCCGCCCCGGCTTGTTGTTTGTGTCTGCTTTGGAGCGGGGCCACCGGGACTCGGGGACTTGGCAGGCTGTCTTTTGGAGCAGCAGGTGCAGCTTCGACTCCCAGACCGCGGGCTGGATCTGGGGTCCTCCGAGGTCGTCCCTGCCCGCGAGGGGAGGAGGAAGGCGAGAGCCCTAGGGACTACTGGCCCCTGTTACCAAGGAGTGGAGCCCGAATTTGAACCCAGCTCATAGTTCATAGCAGCCAAAGCTGGAAGGGACCTCAAAGGTCGTCCAGCCAGACCCCCTCCTCATTTTACGGAGGAGCAAATCAAGGTTCATAGAGGGAAGTCGGCCTACTCGGGCTCATACAGGAAAGTAGAAGGTAGAGTTTCCAGCCCAGGCCGCTAAGGAGAAGCCGCCTCTGCTCCAAAACACACTCATCTCCTTCCAGAAGTCTAACACTATTTTTCTCCTTCCTCCATCATTCTGTCCAGAATAACCTGCCAGACTTGGTGACTTCAAATTATTAAAAACAATAATTGGCTTCAATCAGTCAGTCAACAATACGTATGCACCTACTACGCCCAGGCACTATGCCAAAGCATTGGGGATACAAAAAGAAGCAAAAAGCAATGCCTGCTCTCAAGGAGCTCACTGTCTGATGGAGGAGAGACCATGCAAACATATACGAGCACAGCACAGCTCTATAGGGAATCCATGGGAGATGATGGACAGAGGGAAGGCACAGAGATTAAGAGGGGCTGGGGAAGGCTTCCTGCAGGAGGCCTGGGGAGCCAGAAGGAGAAGCTGAGGAGAGAGAGCATTCTGGGCACGAGAGGTAGCCTGACACAAAGCCCATGGAGCTGGGCAGAGGTACAAGAGTACTGGAAGAAGGGGGGCGGGGGCACTGATGACGGCCTTTGAATGGCACACAGGATTTCCTATTTCATCCTGGAGGTGAGAGGGAATGCCCAGACTTTGATCCTAAGGCCCAAGTCACAGTCCTGGGCTGAATATGAGGTTGACATGATGGGACTCCTGCTGTAGGGACTGAATGGAGTAAGGACTTGAGCGGTCAGAGACCTAAGGCAGGCAGCCCCAGCAACAGCTATTGCTGTGTGTGGTCCAGGCAGAGGTGATGAGACCTGAAGCAGTGTGGGAAGGCGGTGTCAGAAGAGAGACAGGATCCTATTGAAGAGATATTTCAGAGGAGAGCTAAACAGTCATTGGCACTGTATTGGACATGGGGGTGAGAGATAGGGAGGAATCCAGGATGACTGTGAGCCTGGGGGACTGGGAGGATGGTGGTGCCCATAACAGCAACAGGAAAGTTTGGACAGGGGGAAGGTTTAAAGGGGAAAATAATGAGCAGGTTTACAAAGCTTTCTCCACATATGATCCCCATTTACAGATGAAAAACTGGGGGTCAGGGGTGACTTGCTCATGTTCACACATCTCGGTAAGTTCAGAGGCATGATTCAAACCTGGGACTCTCTTGCCTCCAAGTCCACTCTGCCCCCCTCCCCCATCCAAACTGCCTCCAAGTCTAATCTATCTAAACGTGCATGGAGATGGGCAGCTAGGTGGGCCAGTGGATAGAGCACCGGGCCTGAAGTCAGGAAGACCCCAGTTCAAGTTTAGCCTTACTAGCAAGTCACTTCACCTGTTTGCCTCAGTTTCCTCATCTGTAAAATGAGCAGCAGAAGGAAATGGCAAACCATCCAGTATCTTTGCCAAGACAACCCCAAATGGGGTCACGAAGAGTCTGACAAGACTGAATGATAACAAGATGCTTTCATAAAGTGAACTATTATGCTCTAAGTGGCCTGGGAAGAGAGAGAGAGAAACACCTGCCTACTTCTAGAGTTCAGTATACACCTCAAGAATTCCATTTCTAGGGAGACTGACTACCCAAGGCTAAGAACCAAAACTGGGAAGATTTTCATGGCCAGACTAATTTAGAAGACAGTGTACTGCCCTGTCAACCAGCGCAGAGTTATAGCAAACAGGGAGCAGACACGTACCCATCCATCGGGCTGGAATGGCACTCTGGGCATGAGCCTCCCTTCTCTCAGGAAGCAATCTCAGTAGCCTACCACCCGCCAGCCTGAGGAGGCTAAGGGAGGCATTCTCCAGGTGCCGGAGCCAGTCTCTGTAGAGTAGTTTGAATGGGGCTGACTGTGTTTTGCCTTTTTGTGTGTCCCCAGTATCTGGGCCACCTTTCAGAGGAAGCAAAGTGCCCCTCAAAGGAATGATGGCTCAGCAATGACCACTGCCATCCATACTGCCCTCCAAGGTCTGGAAAGTCAAGCCTCTCACCAACTCTGGGACAGGCCAGGGGAAATGTTATCCTCATTTTCTGGATGAGAAAACTGAGGCAGAATTTGAACCTAGCCTTGTAACTCCAGGTCCTTAGGGTGTGTGAGTGTGTGTGTGTTGTGTGTGTTGTGTGTGTGTGTGTGTGTGTGTAAAGATGACTATAAAGAGGTCCCTGAACACCTTAAGTTAAGCCATACTGGGGAGGGAGCTGGCTTCTTGTGAGGAGGCAGCATCCGCTTGTTCTTCAAGAGATGCTGGGGAGGATCAGTTCCTCTGAGGGGTGTGGAGGCAGCTCTGGGTAGGTGAGGAGTACCCTCTGCCTCTGATTGGAGGGCGGAGGCTCTTCCCAGAACCTCCATTTGAGGAGGGCTCCCAGGCTTCCAGCAGGCTACTCTTCTCTTGGGCTTTCCCATCTACATGCTGGTTGGGTGGGGGTCACCTCCAGACGTCCTGACCTATGTCCTGCCAGTGGACACTGATGGCTCTGGAGGAGACAGTGAGGCTGGTGACTTTGCACAGCCCTGTTCGCCTGCACGTCATGGTCCTCTTTGAGAATGAAGGTCGAACAACAACAGCCTGGTTGGGTACCTTCCCCCCCCCTTGTCGGCTTTTCTTTAAGTGTCATCTTCCCCTTTCTAATGTCAGCTCTTTGACGGCCAGGACGGCCCTTCTGGCTCACATCTGTATGCCCAATGTTCACTTAGCTCAGCGCCTGGCACAGAGTAAGCACTTAATGCATGCTTATTGATGGACAGACCATCTGACATAAACTGGGGTCAAGTCTGCTTTTTTCAACAAGCATTTATTAAGTGCCTCCTATGTGCCAGGCACTGGGCTAGGAGCAGGATGCGAGTGAATGCCTCCTAAAATGTGTTGGACCTAACATCAATTCTGGTGGATCCCTATGGCGACACATAATGCACACGGGAACCCAGAAAGCATTCTAGGAAGTCCAGAGCAAGAAACAAAAGGCCTCAGGGCCATAGGTGGGGTTTCCATTGTTACAACCAACTGAAAGGAGGCGATCCAGCCAAGAAAGGCAGATTTGGGAAGTGATCAGCTGGCTAAGAAGAGATTTTGTATTTCTGTACAGAACTTTCATTAAAAGAATGATGAGTGCTTAGATAGGATGAGGCTTAGAATGATGAGTACAATTGTCAAGAGGTAGTCAAATAGTTGGCCTAAATCCTTGCAAATATGAGGGAAATGTCTCTAAATTGAGAAGTGAGGAAAAGAGGAAGAAAAAAAAAGGTGCTCAAATATCTCCGCCTTGCCAGACACCAGAAGGAATGTCCCTGGGAAAAGGGGGAAAGAACGGTGGTGTTAGGGTTCAGCAATTCACAGAACACAGGCACCAAGAATAAAACTGATGGCCCCAATACAAAAGACATCAAGGATCAGAAATAAACTTGAGGAATTAATGCAAAGAGGCGAATCTGACCACCCGGATACTGTTGAGAACCAATAGGATAGGACATGACTAGAATATGGACAGTGGCAGTTTATGACAGTGGCAGAATATGGAGTGGCAGTTTATTTTTTTCTTTTTTTCCTCAATTATATGTAAATATAAATTTTTAGCATTTGATTTTTAAAATATTGAATTTCAAATTCTCTCCCTCCCTCATCTTTCTCAGTCTTGAGAAAGCAAGCACTTTGATATAGATCATATATGTGCAATCATGCCACACATTTCCATATTAGCCATGTTGCAAAAGAAAATACAACCAAAAACCCCAAGAATAATAAAGTAAAAAAAGAAAAAGTCTGCTTCAATCTGCATTCAGACTCCATCGATTCTGTCTCTGAAAGGCAGACAGCATTTTCATAAGTCCTTCGGCACTGTTTTCAATCATTGTATTGCTGAGAATAGCTGTGTCATTCACAACTGATCATTGTACAGTATTGCTGTTACTGTGTTCAGTGTTCTCCTGGTTCTGCTCACTTCACTTTGCATCAGTTCCTACATGCCTTGACTTTTTTTTTTCCCTGAAACCAACCCTGGTCATCATTTCTTATAGAACAGTAATATTCCATCACAGTCATATATCACAATTGGTCCAGCCATTCCCCAACTGATGGGCATCTCCTTAATTTCCAATTCTTTGACACCTGCAAAAGAACTGCTACAAACATGTTGCAGCTTGGTGGCACAGTGGATAGAGCAGTGGGTTTGGAATCAGGAAGACTGATCTTCATGAGTTCAAATCCAGCCTGAGACACTTACTTAGCTGCAGTGACCCTAAACAAGTCACTTTACCCTGTTTATCTC